TTAATATATAGATAGTAGAAATACGTTGAAAATGCATGTGGGAATAAGATTGAATTCTTCATAAGATATAATTTGAGAATAATAAAATCATTTTCCCCCATTAAGAATAAAAAAATATTCTGCATATCTAACACTAGCTAGCTACTACTACTACTACTGGCCACCACAACCACTACTACTACTACTACATCTGAAGCTACTACTACTACTACTACTATACTACTACTACTACTATAATCTTTAATAACTGTAATAACAATATAATAATAATAACAACAATAATTATTATAACATAATGAGACTATATTCAAGGAATACCTCGTACAACCTTTTTCGTCTGCCTGACACTTCATAACAAAAAGTAAATAGGAAGTGTATGAAACAACAAACAACTATATATATATATATATACATATATATATATATACATATATATATATATATATATATATATATATGTATACATTTTAGGTTTAGACTATCATAAAAACAATTATTTATAAAGATCACTGCGTTTTCGGCATTATTCAACTTGTAGTTGAGTTTCTCAATTTTTCTAACGAGACTTTTATCATCTTGACGAAGTTTATTAAGGTTAAATGAAAAAAACTTTTAATATTTGACATTTCTGACAAAACATTATTAATAACGTTGTTACTACATACATATATACATTTATATATATATTGGTTACAATAATTGAGTTGTTATCTAAAGCCTTATTCGGTAGTCTACTGACGAGTCTTCCGAGAGATTGGTTTACAGTTTACCATTTATATATATATATATATATATAAATATATATATATATATATTATTTGACAAATCAAACCAAACAAAGGTCATAAAAATAAATGAATGAGATGAAATGGCTTGGAAACCCAAAAATAGTAGCAGATAACCGTGACAGGCCGTCACAACCAATTGAACAAATGCCACAGGAAAAATATACAAACATGTTAATTCATATTAGATAAACTCTCTTTTTGAAATTCATAATAGGATAGAAATTATATTTTTTGCTCTATTTCGCAAAAAAACATAAATAAATTAAAGTTTCGTTGGAAGAACAAAAAGATTTTTTTCTGTAAAAACTGTAAAAAATGTAAATGGAAATTTACAATGATGCATCAAAGAACGAAGAAATATTACGGATAGGAGATAATTCGGACAAAACAACCATTTTCAACATTTTTAAAGATGAATCTTTCATCAAAATACATTTTATTCAAATTAATTTAACTACCAAACTTTTTTCCCCGCATTAATTAAATTATTTTTTCATTATTTTCGTGACAAATTTTATAGAGCCTAGCACACAGCCATTTAAACTTAAATAGTAGGTATCATCATCGTCATCCTTATTATTATTAATGTATTATTATCAGCATAAGTAATCATAATAATAATAATTAAACTTATTATTAATATTTAATTATTATAATTATAATAAAAATTATTATTCTTAATTACTGAGACACTACAGCTTATCATAATTATTACCATTATTACCGTTGCTGCTGTTGACGTTGCCGCCGCTGCTGCTGACGCTACTAGCAGTCGATCTATTGGTTAGTGAAAGACTCCTCCGAAATGTATCATCATCATGACCGCCGCCCCCACTTCCGTTGCTAACTCTACCGACGAAATGCTGGTGAATGAAATTGTTGCTGCTGTTGTTGCTGCTGCTGCTGTTGTTGAAGGCGTAGAGCTGCTGCTGCTGTTGCTGTGATTGGTGACGCTGTTGTTGCTGCTGCGACAACTGCTGTCGTTGCTGTCTATATTTATGCTGCAGGCGAAAATCATCAACGTCATTAGTGTCATACTCGATGTTTCCGTATAAAGTGGTAGCACCCGTCAGATTCGTGTCGTACCTGCCACTTGACCAATCACCTCTGTTCATGCTTCCTCCCGCAGACGTTGCAGCTGCTGACGTCATGTTTTTGTTGTTGTTGACGCTGTGTTTGTTGTTGCTGTCGTTGCCCGACGATGATGACGGTGGCGACGACGATGACGTATTCCACGGTCCGACTAACTGACCCCTGTACGCTATGTTGTACTGCAAGTTATAATTTCAAATAAGTATAAATTATGCAAATCAAAAACGTACGTTCAACGATCGAGACCCCGGTTACTTTACACTTCAAGATCGGAGAGAGAGAGAGCGAGAAAGAGAAAGAGAGAGAGAGAGAGAGAGATAGAAAGACGGAGAGAGAGAGACGGAGATATAAAAACAGACAGAAAGACCATACCGCCTTTATTAATACGCCATCTGACTAACAACACTAACAACAGAACGACAGCTACACACGCACGCACACACACACACACATAAAAACACATACACACGCGCGCACACACACATACCTTAGTGGCACAAACATAACAGGAGGTGACTAATTTAGCGATGGCGTTCATTAGATCTTTGGTGTTCTGTATTATCTGGTCGACCTTGCGTGTTTAGGTAGGTGTGAGTGATATTACGTTAACTACGTCATATATATATAATATATATACATATATATATATATATATATATATATATATATATATATATATATAATATGATACTGTCGTAATTATCATGCGATATTATTAATAAATAATACTAATTATTAAATTATTAACAACTTAAACATTATTTTTTTTTTAAATTTATTTATTACCAAAAAAACTTTGCTAAAATTTGTGAGTATTTAAAAGGCCGCAAACTTATTTGCAAGAAGAATCGCGGTTGTTTGACAACTAAATAATACTAATAAAAAAAACATAATTAACCATTAACCAATCAATCAACCAACCAACCAACCGACCAACTAAATAACCAACCAACCAACTACCTTGTTAAACGTAGCAGCCTTGCCAACAGTCTGAGACCTAACAGTGAAATTGAGATGCTGACAGTAACTTGGAACACTATCTAACATGCACATTAGTTCTGTCTTGTGGCTACTCTGTGGAACCTAAAGGTAGATTTTTTCTTACATTTTAAAGAACCTTAAGGTGTATTTTTCCTATTATAATCGTGAGGTAGATTTTATGTGAACAGCAAAATATCACATACACACACACACACAAAACGCAAACACATAAAAACACACACATACACATACATAAAAATAAAAAGAACATTAAACACACACAAACATACACACAGAAAAACACAGACACAAACAAACAAACAAACAAACACACACACAAACCTGTTTAGAGAACTCCCTAGCAGTTTTATACAACTTGGTACCCTCCTCTGCAAAATACCCGGCCTGTACAAACAGATCCCTGGTATTCTTCAACGGCCCCTCTCCCCTGGTGAACAAATAGATGGAGAAGGCCATGCAGGACATGTTCTTGGCCCGACGCACGATCTCATTTTCCGGTTCCACCCATCTATCAGCCTCGGCATCCAACTCCGAGGTTATTAGTTTCACCTCGAGGCCTGCTTTCGCTATTTTGGCTTGCTCCTTTTATATCAGTGGTCAGTGAAGTGGACGATAACGAAGCGTAACTCGACGATCAAAAATGCGACAAGAGGTGGGCGAAAGTTGAGAAGAGAAATACCAGAAATAAAGACAAACTTTTGATGGTCCGAAATTCAAAATTAAAAATAATAAATGAATGGATGAACGAACGAACGAACGAATGAATGAATGAATGAATGAACGAACGAACAAATGAACGAATGAATAATTGAAATGAGCCAAGTAAACAAAATATTCAGCCTACTAATCAATCAAAATCCAACTTCCAACCAAAACATCAAAACAGATCTTGCAAAAGAAATAAATAATGACGATGAGGATGATGATGAGTGTAATGCTGGATTGTGTTTGTTTCTATTCAGTTATACAGACTTCTCCATTGACTGATTTGTGTAGTACGTTTTTATAATAATAATAATAATAATAATAATAATCTATTTCTGCGAACAACAAATAGATAGAGATGAATAATAATGGGCCTAATCAATGTATGAAATTAATATTAATTAGATACAACGAATGATGAATAATAATTAATGAGTGATGAATATTCATAGAAACCTACCTCGTTGTTGAGATTTATTGGTTTCAAGCCTCTCGTATTTGCTCCATGTTTCTGCATTGTTGAATAATTATAATAATAATTACCATTATAATTATTACTATTACAGTTATTAATATTATAGTTATTATTATTTTTACTACTACTACAATAATATTATTATTATTTATATTATTCCCAAGTAACAGGCAGAGGTTTCAAGGACACACATATACACACACAAACAAACAAACATAAACAAACACACACACACACACACAAGCAGACACACACAAACAAACACAGACAAACAAACACAGACAAACAAACACAGACAAACAAACACAGACAAACAAACAAACACACACAAAGATTGTACGTGAATACGCGCGAATGCACGCATCACACGCATTGCGTGTGATATGTTGGGATCTTTATGCATTCGAAGCCTGTCGCTGCAACAAAAGAAACATGCGCCATCACCAGTACACCACACAAACTAATTCACTAGCTTAACTCACCCCTGGTTTAGGTAGAGACAAATAAACTTGCTTGTCGGTTTTCCCCAGACAAACGTCACTAACATCCTTTACTAGTATCGATAGATCGTTCACATGGTTCACCCAAGTTTCTGAGAAGACCTTGTATCATCATCATCATCGTCGTCGTCGTCATTGTCATAATCATCACCATCCCATCATCATCATCCCATCCTCATCATTGTCACCGTCATAATCATCACCATCACCGTCATAATCATTATCATCACTATTGCCATCCTTATCCTCACCACAATCATCGTCCTATTTATGAACATAATCATCTCTGTCACTATCACCACTACCACCCTCGTCACTATCACCATCATGTATGCAATCATCCTCATCGTCATCATATTCGTCGTCATCTTCATCTTCTTCATCATCATCATCATCATCTTCCACCACCACCTCCTCATCATCCTCATCATCATACTT